AATATAGTGACTAGGCAGTTCAAAAAAAAGAACAAAAACAAAAAGATGGTGAAGAAGTCAAAACCTGAGAGAAAAGAAAAGAAAATGCCCAACCCCAGGCTAAAGGCTACAGGTAAGTTCTGCAGAAGTGAAATTAAAGGTACTGGCTTGAAAATTTTTGAGAACCAATACTTTCCCTACAGAATTCTTATTAGCCCTTGGGATTGGCCTGATATTTACAGGAATACAAAAAATGTAAAAGGATCCTGTCTTCTACATCTAGAAGTATCACTTATTTATTTAATAGCCCTCCAAAGAGTCTGGTGGGTTTAGCCCTGTTCTTAAACTACTGCCATACATAAGTAAGATTTGGAATGACCTTTTGTTTCAGGCCACAATGTGAAACACCGTATCAACATAGCAGTTACTGCTTTCCCCACCCCCACTGGTATCACCAGTCCCAGCAGCTAACAAAGACTCGAAACTGTGAAAATGCACAAACCTAACAGTAATGTATTTGAATTCTATTTCTGATCTCTACTCCATCCTCTGTGCATCAGAATATAACCACGACTTGATGGCATGAATTCATTTTCTCTGGTTTCTAAGGGTTCTGGCCAGATATCTCCTAGTTGGAACTAATTTGTTAATTAAATCAGAAATCAGTTGCGCTCTTGGAAAAGTGATTTGTATTCTGACAAATAAGACTAGTGATTTTTAAACTTTTGCTCATCATTTCTTTTTTTTTTTTGAGACAGAGTCTCACTTTGTGCCTAGGTTAGATGAGTGCGTTGGCGTCAGCCTAGCTCACAGCAACCTCAAACTCCTGGACTCAAGCGATCCTCCTGCCTCAGCCTCCTGATTAGCTGGGATTATAGCATGCGCCACCATGCCCGGCTAATTTTCGCATATATATTAGTTGGCAATTAATTCTTTCTATTTATTTAGGGTTAGAGATGTCTCCCTTGCTCCCCCCAGCTAGGCTGGTTTCGAACTCCTGACCTTGAGCAATCCGCCCGCCTCGGCCTCCCAGAGAGCTAGGATTACAGGCGTGAGCCACCGCGCCCGGCCTCATCATTTCTTACTGTTGAGAATGATATTTGATGGCTTCAGTTTCTACTCAGATTAAATCTTATCCTTCCCTCTTTTTGACCTTTTAAAGATAAACAACTTTTATCATAAACAACTTTTAGATCCACAAACCGTTAAAAATAATGTGCATTTTCTATACCATCTTGTTTCTTCATTATAAGCATTACTGCTAACATAACATTAGAGTGTTGGTAAAAAACTGATTGGAAACTACTATAGCATATTGTAGTAATTTATCATGACCAGTTTAGAAATTCAGGTAGATTTATCTAGGGATAAATGTGTACCCTAGTGCCCACTTTGGATTTTGGTAAGTCTGGATGTTGTTTTGTTTTGTAGCTAGTTTTTGTTAAAGACATTTTTTCTCTTCCCTTCCCCAAATTGTTATATTTCTACTTTCAGTGACACCAAGTCCAGTGAAAGGCAAAGGGAAAGTGGGTCGCCCCACAGCTTCAAAGGCATCAAAGGAAAAGACTCCTTCTCCCAAAGAAGATAAAAGAAAGAGACGAGGAACCAGAAAGCTCCAAGAAAGAAAACATCTGCAAGCCCCCCCCAACCCGAGAAGTCTGGGGATGAAGGGTCTGGAAGGAATGAAGCCCACGTCGGAGTGAATTGGTGTGTGATTTGGTTAAAAGTCTGGTAGACTGTTTGGGTTGTGATGTGTGAGTTTTGTGTAATATTGTTGTGGTTGTTGGTGTTAGTATTGTGTGAATATAGAGGTTGTTGTGGGCGGGATGTGAACATTTATTACTGGTGGTGGAAAAATTGTGGCAGTATTTGTAGAATGATTTGTGGGTGTGAATTTTATTTATAAATGTCAAAAATCAGACTTAACTTCCACTGATGAGGCAGGTAGGAGATAAAAGAATTCTGAATTGTTACTAAAAGTACTCATATTTTTTACCTTGAGGGGAGGGTGGGGGAATGGGGTTAACTGACCTTGTTTGAGTATTCTTTTTTATTTCATCACTTGTTATCTCAAAGAGACTCGGAGCCAGTGATCCTTTCATCCTGCAACAGTCTTTAAGGAGCTTAAAAAAAGAAAGAGCCAGGGGCTGCCAAAACTGAAATCCTCTCGATTTCATATTTCTTTCTCTAATGGTTCATGTTTTAATATATATATATGTATCCTGGGGTTTTTTTTTCTTTGATAAATTTTACCAAGATCCCCCCAAAATAAAACCGTCTAGAATTTAATTGCAAGATCAATCTACACTCACAGTGATTTCTTCTTAAACTGACAATTTTTAGGTTTTAATCAAACTAATATTTCCATTAATTGGAACTCATCATCTTCCT